CTAAAGTGAAACGGTGGTCAAGTAGAACAGATCGGAAGTTTGACTTCTGTAACAACTTAGGTGGCTTCTTTAACTTTGAATGCCACTGCGAACTAAGGCAACTTTACAGTGGGACAGTCTGTTAGGAACTTAATAAGTCGGAAATCTTTTTTGAAACCATAAACACATACCGGTCAAATATCCTACTATTCCATGTCATCTGTTCCTTTTTTTAGCCTTCTTCGCCCAACGTGGCGTCACATTAGGTAGTGGTTGCGCTATGTAGTAAAGTGATAGAAGTTGGAAATATGGACCATTGGATCCCAACCCGGTAGCTCAATGGTAACGTGCCGGCCATGGAACCTGAAGGTCGCGGGTTCGATCCCTGCGCACTGCTACGGAGTCCCATACTAGAATGAGGCAGCTGTCCAGTGCTCAAAGTCTTTCAAAGTTCCTCCAGCTGATGTCAGTCCGCGATGAATATCAACTTAAATACTCAGTTTGGCTGCAAAAATGATTAATTCAGTCAAAAATTAAGCACTAGCAATGTATTTGAAAAATAGATTCTAAAAGTTTAGATTGGCATTATTAGTGTTGTTGCTTGTATTATCCCGTCATTGATTGGACTAACAGATCAGTCTCTGTTGGCATATGGGCTCCTGCGCGGATGCCTCGATATTACCTGTGTTTTAATCATATATTAATGATGGGAAGTGGCTAGCAGTGGAATCCAGGAAGCGGGTCTCGTGCATCCAGCTGACGAGCCCCAAATAAGACGAAACGCGCGCCCTAGATTCCACTGCTGGCCGCTATCCATCATTAACATATTATTGAGGTGTCTTGGTTAAGAAAGAACACACATAGTATTCACATTGGATAGCAACGCTTAAAATCGATTCCCACATAGGGTATTTGCTCCAAATGCTTAACATATTCGATAAATTCTTCGTAGATTTTAGGCACCGGTTGTCCTAATAAGAAGTTTGGTAGACCTGATTCACTTGTGTGGAGGAGGTAAATATTGTTTGGTGAAGCTGATGAGACAGTTGACATTTTCGAGAAATACAAAATTTATGAATGAAGCAGTTGCTGTGATAAAGACTAAGTTATCTATGAAACATGGATGAAACAATCTGCGTCTGCTTATGTTCAGAAAATCAAACGTGTTAGGCACACACACACGCGCGATAATCGATATTAATCCTTATTCCTAACCTAAAGTATGAATAATTTTTTTTAATTATTCCGTAGGCATAATGATTGTTAAATATTAGGAGTCATGTTTATTGCAAAATATAGATTTTGAAACAGCATGATTCGAATGTGCGTGTGAATGAGACTTATGAGTCACTTTCACACCTTTACCATATATAAGTAACAACCCACTAGTAATTGGTAATTCAAAGTTTATTTGAACACATATTCTGTCCAGAAAATTATAGTCTAGATAAATAACTATGCAGACAAATGGACGGTGGAGCATAAACAACACAGAATTTATCAAAATCTATTGCCATAACACAGTTTTGAGAAATCAGATATGATATTTCGCTAACTAGAATCATCAGCATATGCTTCAGAGTTAAGGGAAGTTGGAGATAGCATATCATTCCTAGCAGGCAGATCACTTTTCCATGAAGTATCTGAAGAAATTGAATAACTATGGTAAATAAAGAAACCTGTTTGAGACCGGTCAAATATGACCTTCTGGAAGAAATTCAATTAAGGTTTATTCGGGTTGGGTTCATAGCTTGAAAACCCTCATTACCGAAATTCGCTCTCTCTTCCTGTGCTGTTCAAAACCTTTCTTCAGACAACAAGGAGGCAGGAGAGCTGGAGGCCGTGGTTGTTGCTAAACGTAGGACCTCCTTGTTGGATATGCTTTTTATTCTACCACTACTTTAAGTGACCTTTATAGCAAGGTAGGACTTTCAGAAACAGCCAGGATGGTTGATAACGATAATTCCGAAAGCTAAGCTGCAAGTACAGTCATATGAATAGAAACGAAGTGTAAACCAATACAAACTCTTGAAAGATGTTCATACGCAGCAGGGTGTGACAAACATGAAAACAGAAAAATCCAGTCAGTTAGCTCTGTAAAGCTAACAGTACTGAGAAGGTAAGTATTTGGATAAGGAATTTAATTTAATTCAAAGTCATTCAAGTAGGCGGTTTCAGTCCTCAGTCCTCAAGTTACTCAGTTTACCTTATGCAAGCTTGAACGATATATGACGATACTTAACATGAAGCAGTTGGGTCATGATTCAAACCAGCAGTAATTCAGTACTTTGTTTTAACTGAACTACGAAAAAAAGTAAGTACTAACCAAGTTTGAAGTCCGCTGCAACCTCTACTTCTTTCATGGTAGCTTTGGTTCATCGGTTTGGGGAGTTGACGTTCAACTAGTGGGTCATATGTTAGAACACTGCTCCACATACCAGGTAGTATCATTGACCCCCAACAAAATAGGTGTGGCTCATTGCTTACCATACAAATGTGCACAAGATTGCTGAATGCATCTCTCTCCATTTCTTTGGTTAAACTGTTTTGTTAGTTTAGAAATATAGCCAATATACCATCCATCGATAAAAGCGGGATGAAATAGAAATGAGCAAATCACCTAATGACTGAAGTCAAAACGAGATTCAATAGTCACCAGTTGAGTTACACAGTTTGGTTAGAATATCGCCTCATTAATCATTTGGCGCCAACCGGTTTAGTCTTCGTTGGAAATTCAACTATAATCTTTCCGTAACCCTGGAAAAAAACTATTCCCAGTACTCTGAGGGTTATTCAAAGTAAATATTTCAAATTCCCTAGGAAAGTTATCACAACCAGAAGAAAAAAATACCAACAGCAAACCAGCTTACAACAGAAAGTACTTATACAAACGTAATTTGAAGCAATACGTGATATCAATCAAGTTCTCGTTGGATTATACAAGGTGATGAGACATTTCACAATATACACATGCAACATACACAGACTAAACAGCGCTTGTAACCGGTGATGACTGTTTAGAAAGAAGCAAAAACAGAGCGACAGCATATGCATAAGTCAAAACAAACAAACACATGATTGACACCACTTGACGTAGCATTTTCAAAAAATTTCTCTGATAAAATCCTTGTGACCTGTTAACTAGGTTGAAGTGAATTCGAAGAACAGTTACTCTTGTACAGTTCACTCCACAAGTCAACTGAGTTCACAAAACATCTTTCTGTTATAAGCAGTAACTGTTCTAGCCAAATAAAAAAGTTTGATCACAACGAAAAAATCAGTTTAACTGCTCCACTGGAGCCGAGTACATAGGCTGTAATCATGTACCCACTTGTGCAACGTGCTCATAATAACTATCCAATTTAGCTGATAAGTGGAGAACGTAAATGCATTCTCATCTCTGTAACAGAAGACTCTGAAAACTCAGGACAACTGACTCTTTTTGATAAGTCCTTCAAAATTCTGTACAAACCGCGACTGAACCGCTCGAAAAAAGTGCGGCTAAGACATCTGGACATGGTTGAAGAATTAGCTATTCAAAAGTAAAAATCATCATTATAAGTTTAAAAGAAGTATGTATAACATTTTTCTTTGCCAGGGCCATCGTAGATTATCGACTACTCTAAAGAACCCATATATGACCTAACTATTTTTATTTTATAGTCATTTTGTTTACTTCCCCATTACGCAACTTTCTTTTGACATGGAATTTATACAGACCTTTGATCGGAAATTATTCTGAACTATTCTATCCTTCCTACTATATATTCACGAATATACAGCTAAGAGAATGATTTCGTTGAAAAGAAAATATTTTCTTTGCTGTAATCGTCTTCTGTGTTTACCTATGTTCAAATGGGATTTTTTCGATATTTCAAAAATAACTGTGGTTTTTAAAAAGGGCTGACATTCGCCAGCTAACCACTAAAACAGGAGAGCACTGGATGGTTTATTTCTTTCTAGTTCGGGATTCCTCACCAATGGACACCCAAAACTGTGAAGGAAATGTAGTCAACAACTATCAATTCTGAAGATGAACACGTCGTTATTCTATCATTGATTTGTGATCAAACTTTTGTGAGACTAACGAAGTTGAAAACGTGGGATAGGTGTCTAGTAATGACAATGAAGCATGGTTATACACATATGTTGATAAACCGATAGAATTTGATCATAAACGAGTGACAGCACGGTAATATGCTCAACCAGAGAATTGACTCTGAATTCCGTCTTGTACGATACTACTCAAGTTTAATAAACAAAATAAAAACAGATGACCTTAGTTCTTTATCTTGTACTAGTTTTTATTTGCTATCAATCCACGGCAAAACAGACTTAGAATATATTTTTTATACAGTAGATTATATACAAGGATGCAATTAGGTGTGATATAGTGAGAAGATTACAAAAGGTGGTATAAACATCCTCAAGTATTTAATATACCTGGTCAGCATCTCCTTTGATGCGTGATTTTGGTTAACGCGTAAACAGGATAGAAACATCCGAGCAGTTAGCCGGTAGATGATACTCATTTATGAAGCTTTTGTCTACCAGTCGAAATAATATCTTTGAATATAGGCATATTGACTGTGATAAACTAAGATTTGATATATGAAGAAATAGGTGTAAGTCTCAAATTTATCCCTAGAAGTAATAACATTGCATACACGCCATAACTTATCTAGTTATATAATAAATTATGTTTTCCCATCTCATCAACCATTAATTTCTTCGAACAAATTTGATTGTGTCCTAGTTGTATTCGTTGAAGGTGAAGATGAACAAGCCTTTGGAATCATCGAGTTCCCTATAAACCCACTTAATTTGTAAATAGGAACATAATCCTGACAAATTTAGTAAAATATTAAAATTTTATCACATAACGACAGTGAAAAAGCATTCAAAAAAACTACAAGCAGTTTCGGACTTAACTGTGAACATCTGAAAAACGAACTTAAGCTTTGAACTAAAGAAAACTATGAATTACACGTTATTAAGCATGAGATATACATATAACTTACTATGCTCTAGAGATCGTACACTTGAGTTGAAGGACTGACGTCGAACAGGCGAATTTTCTTCACGTGTTGATGAATTTATATCCATATCACCTGAGATAATATTTCGGCCAGTTGAAGACTGTAAAAATAAACAAAAGTGTAAATCAAAGACGTAAAACAATACGCATAAAAAACTCAGTTACTATCATTCAATGATGAAACTATATGATAGTTAGATGATAGTTCAGATGAAGGCCTAAGTGGTGACAGGATTCGAACCAGCTAGTTAAATGAACATTACACGAGAAATATGAAAGAATAAAGGAAAGAGGTAGAAAAAGCAAAACATTTTGAAAGGGTTAATAACAATAACTTACAGCAGTATGCGTCTTTTATTATAATTGGTATTAATGCTATGCAGGGAGCTTAAGTAGCTATTTATTGACGAACAGCTACTTGAATATCGACTTCGAAGACATCGAATAGAAGGTATGCATAAAGCGCTTTGAAGATACTTACATCAGCTTGGCAAGATGCTGACCACTTGTTATAGGAAAGATTACAAAAACGGTTGCAGAGAAGGACGAAAATATGTGTTAGAGAGAGAGAGAAGAACCTTCAGTAATATTTCTAGTCATGGAATTAAAATATGCTGAATAGTGAAAGCTTGATTGGCAAACGGAAGACGGAAATTCATTTTCAACTCCATAACAGAACAGATTTCAAGTCACTCAGCTTTAGAGGACTCCTTCGAAACTGTCCTTAAGGTTTAATCAAGCCACTCAAAGAAAGTGAGATCAAGATATTTGGGTATAGCTGAAGGACTAACCCATATCGGGACTTAAAACTGATGCTGTGTCCAAAAACGTTTTTTAAATCATAAAACCTTAACTGTTATAAATAAATCTTCTATTATGTAACTGTATTTATTTCCTTAATCCCTTTGTTCATTTAGTGACTCAAAGTCTTTATTTGTATTACGTAACTTCCTTTTATTACTCGATGTATTTTGACCAAAGACCAAAAATAATTCTAGGATCTTCAACCCTTTCGAATAAATATTCACGAATGTACAGCTTAGTAAGTGACTTCGTCGAGATTCTTTTGTAATCATCTTCTTTTGTCTTTTTTCTGTGATCAAATGGGTGAATTTGACTGTTTAAAGAATAGCAAGGAATACCTGTTTTGTGGAACGGTAATGGACATGTAATATTTATCAACGATATGTAATCACTATTCATTGACTAAGATGTACAGAAAAACATGCAATCCAGAAACCATAAACAGATCTGTGCACCAGACTATGGGGCATATTTACTCTTTGACAGCTTATGATACCATCCAGTAATGTAGGCTGAAGGAGATACAATAAGTTCAACCTAGTAGTTCATATCTCCTAGCAATTACATAACATGGACTAAAAATCCCATATTATTGTCTAGAATGGTGTCCAACGCCATTCTTCTTACTTTGGATGATAAATGTCTCTTGTTATTTTATTTTATTTCCCTGAAGATGCTCGGACCAGACTTCCGTGCGAAACGTCGAAACTATATGATTTCAAACCCGCAGTGACTTACACAAATACAATCTATGTCTAATGTTAACTTTTTACTCAGCGCCCAATGTTTGCCACGCTAAAGAAGATTATCACCTGCTCAACTATGAGAGCTGGAGTTATACTCCATTGTCATGAATTCCGTCTGCAGAGAATAACAGTAGGCTGTCTCGGTTTACTTTTTAAAAAAATTTCATTAAAACTACAAACTAGACAACAGGATGAAAGTAAATTGAATAAACATCAATTCAGGTTAGTTTTCCAGAAAGACAAAAAGCTTACTGAATGGTGTATCCAGTTAGGTAGTAAAGTAATTTTTCAATAAAATAAAAAAGCAAACAGAAGGAAATCAGTACATCTAAAACACTTGCGGATACACTTTCGTTTCACATTCATTGTTCAGACGAATTACGATGATTGATATTTTATGAGAACTATTGAAGCTGGTAAGGAGAAATTTTTATTAATGAACTTAGATTTATATCATATATGACGAAGAAAGCGGGAAGAAGACTTTTAAAAAGTATTGGAATTTTGTTTCTTCTCTCTATTTCACACATACACATATATTCACACACAAACATAGATCGTACCACTGAATAAATAATAACCTGGTGTATTTAATATCCGTATGACATTTCACTGATGAAACCAGAATGCAACCATAAACAAGTAATCCTAGCTACTATAACTAGTAAAAAAAAGAATGTTAGAGAGATGTTTGTGAGCAAATATAAGCAGCTTACACCTTCTTATACTTAGATTATGATAGATTTGAGGATTTCTCCCTAACCGATTTTGTAAGTAGGCTCAAAAGATGAGTTTTACAACTTTAACTACCATCACCAATGAGATTAAATCATTGACCTTAGTTCTGAAGTCACTATACAGTTTGTCCTAGGTTTCAACTTGGACGTATCGATGAGTCTTCCAAATCGAAATGTGAGTAAACAAACGACAGTAAACTGATCAGAAGTTGTTTTTTCTTTCAAAAGATATCCAAATATTGCAGGGGACAGTAATAACTCAGTTAATGAGACTTCCCGATGTGAACATTATTACCGAAAATGGTCTATTCATTGAGGTCAAATAAATCAATATTTAAAAAAACCTGACTACAATATTAATGTGTAGACAGTTGACATCAAAGCTTAACCCAGTTGGTTAGTGGAGTTAATGGATCGTCGTTGAGTATTTGTCCACATATCCGAATTAATTTGCCCCACCGGTCATGAATTTTCAACTAGAACTACGAGAAATTTTATCTCGAAGCACGTAATTATTGAGCACTTGAATAGAAATTGAATTTGAAGGTTTGTGTGGATTGATTGACTTAAAGTCAATATTCATTACGGACTGATATCAGTTGGAGAACCACTGAAAACCTCAGGGCATTGGATAACTGTTTTACCCCAATATGAGATTCCTCAGAGGTTTACACTTCAGTTTGATGGTGGTGATACAATCTATTCCCTGGGGTTTAATCGAGGCAGATATGTGTGTATATACACAATGAAGGTTGAAAGTGTCAGTACAAAATCATTTGAAAGGTTGCTTCCCAAAAACCATATCCTAATTGCAAGTGACATTTAAGTACGGACCTAACGAACCTATCAGAAGGAGATATTGTGCAGGCTAACAGAAAAATACACCTAATCAGTATTCTATTTCGAACCCCTACAACATATGAATAATACTGACAGAAACTACTGAATTTATCAATCCAAGCGTATATGTAATCAAACCAACATGATGAAAACTCATTCAATGTGTGTACTTGATTGTGAAACAAAAATAATTATTGGAAAGCTTTTCATGAGGCCAATGAGCTACGGCAGCCGCCAGCTTCTTATTTAACGGAAATACATTTTTACTAGTGTTTTCACGTTTTGTTTTGTCAACTTTGTTAGGCTGAATGGAATCAATCTCTGTTGGCATACCGGCGTTGTTGTGCAATAGTCTAGTAATTGCTATGATTTTTATTTGATGTCATATTTTTCTTTCTGTACAGTACTGAAGTCAAGGAAGCATTTTCCACCACTCAGAATTATCATACACTGGATGACGACAGGTATATCCAACTGATAAGTCTCAAAACGAGAAAAAAGTGAACCTTAGGGATTTCACTCTTAGCCACTAGCGAAAAAATTATGAAAAAAACATTAATCAAATCGGTAACGTAGTATGTTGTCATGAGATTCTTACAAATAAAAACTACGGCTGAGCACTAATGACCTAATCGATTGATGTTTTACAACAACAACTCTATACGTTCACAACCAGCAATGTCTAAGTCCATGAGTAGAACAGTTAGGATAGTGTAAACACATTGCATAAACAATACTGTGGGGTTTTAGCGAAGAATTTACTGTTCAGTAGTTTAAAGTATAGGTTAAAAATGAATACTTTAAAGGACGCTAACAGATTTGAAAGCAGTTTTCACTACAGAAAACCACTGGAAAACCTATACATTCCAATGTAGATGTTAATAGTTGGTGGACAGATAAATCGAAGTTGGACCTGGCACAGGATTCCATCGGTCCAAGTTGCCACACTTCACAGCAGCATGTAAAATAGGAGTGAACAGAAGGACAATGGCATCAAAGTAGAAAAGAATATGTTAAACGAGAGGAAATAAATAAATAAAGTTCACTGAAAATATTCAGGACTTTGTAGAAGACAGAGAGTGAATGCATCTGCGTAATTATCAGTGACTTTGACTCCATCACCAAGTCTTTAACCATTGATTCCTATGGCTTCGGCAGTCCCAGCCAGACAGGCTACATCTACCTAAACGGCTAAGACTAACATTCAGAGACTTCATAGATTAGCGGTTAGCGCCCTCAAGTTCACAAAGGATCAACTTCAGAACATGTGTGTTCTTAGGAAGCATATTACCATCCATATAGTAGATTGGAATGCAATTTTTCACATTCTTAAACTGTAGTTCATACAACAATTAGTGCAATCATCGCCTTATGTCATCCATCGACATGGATACTAACTTTGAACTTAGCTGGCCACCTATATATTGATGATTATGATGAACTGCACTGGTGAGTAGTCAGGTAGTGTAAGAACGTCCCATAGATGAAGGCGTTGAGAGGCAGCATTTTAATCCAGCTCATTCAACGAATGGTCTTGAAGTAAAGTGCAGCAGCCTAATTTACTACACTACTGAAAAGAACAAGAAATTTTAAAGGTTTATTCAGTACATTACGAAATAACTTTCAACCGAAGGTTAAGGCATAAGGAAAATGTGTATCGACGAAACTGAATTAATTCAAACGGTTTTAACTCATGCTGATCCCAGTAATCAACAAACTTCTCAGGGCAAAGACAAGCAGTCAAGTCAATAGTTTTCACTGATTCACCATGTAAAACTCACTCAGCAACCTTCGGCACATTCGTGCAATAGATAATGAGTCATACATAGTGTGTGAGGGCTAACCTAAATGCCGGAAACTCGGTAGGTGGAGCATTGTTCAAACCCGAGACCAACTAGCTGAAAGTCAACTCATTAAACTAATGAGCCATCAATTCACTATTCACTTTTTAAAGGTTTACAATTCCCTTCTATT